CACATGGGCCCAGGCCCGTGTTAATTAACACGGACCGGAAGCGAGAACATTCCCAGAAAACTTTTAAGACGAAGGTTGGTTCCCATGCGTGGGTCCGCGTTTAACAGGGGCCCAGTCCCAAGTGTGGGAACCAAGATGCTGTCCGAAAACTTATCTGGGAATCTTGGATCTTGGATCCTCGTCCCGTGTTAATCAACACGGGCCCAGGCCTGGGAACCAAGATTCGCCAGAAAACTTTTCCGGTTCTTGGTTCTCGGCTGTCGGTTCCTGGTCCCGTGTTAGTTAACACGGTCCGTGCTAATTAACACGGGCCCAAGCGTGAGAACCAATTCGCCAGAACTTTCCAAATCCTGGTTCTATCATTTTTGGCTCCTGAAGCTCCGTACGTTAGCCCGCCTTGCACAGCCACGGGGACGGGTAGCGCCTACTTTGGGCCAGGTACCCAAACACGATCTTTTCAGGACCAGCAGTACCATCTAGTCGATATAGTCTTTCATCAAATTTGCAATCCTTGGTTCATAGCCCGTGTTACTTAGCACGGGCCTAGTGAGTCGTATGGGTTTCAATCATCCATCGTACGGCTGATGGTTGAGGGGGCGCTCGCCCGCCGGGCACCTATGAAATACAAAGCCTGGAAGAGGAATCTAAGGTAGGGGTCGGCCAAACAAATGGCGACAGTATGCGACAATATCCCTCTATTTATATATACTTACATATGTTATCTTATAACCAGATCTAGTTATTATTAGTACTAACATATCTTATATTGCAAGTATTTTTCAGATCCCAACATATGCAAGTTCGCCAGAGTCGGCATCTAAACGAATTTTTATAAAATAGGGAACTGAATTTGAGGCCTTGGTAATTCGAACAAGGCTCCTTTACAAAGACCTGTGAGGTTATCGGAGTCTTTATGCAAGGGCCCACATACTGAACTTATGATTTATGGTATATGGTGTTTAGGAGCTACCAGGGAGGGATGTTGCGAGCCTTGGTAAACTTCAAGGTTACGGGGATGCTCAAAAAAACTAGTGCCTTGATTACAGCAGGCTTACTTTCTGTGCTTCTCTCGGTTTTCGGTATTTTCGTACAAAGTGTTTAAGAATATATAGAGACTATACGAAAATGATTATCAAGAATGAAGACATCCAGGCTATGATGTAACCTTGGTGCATTTGCGGGTGAACGGGCACACTCTAGAAGTATTTCACAGCCAAAATGCAGAGGGGGTGGCCTACTGTTCCAAGCATTCTGTTTAGCATCCTAACCTCAACCCCCAACCTCAAACCCGTAAGCCTTAACAAACAACCATCATGTGCTGAAATAGGTCATGTGGCATCAAAACAACTAAAGGGTTAACACGAGTCGTACCTCAAAACATAGGCGGGAGTGTGGCGCAAACAGGGTGTTGACAGGTAGAAACAGTGATCGCGAACAAAATGTGCACAACGTTTGGCGGGGACGCGATTTCCGGAGGCGCAACTGTTGCCGGTTTGGCTTCTGAGGTGGGTTTTGGAGGGGTTAGGGCAGCATGCATATATATATATACATATATATATATATACACATACATACATACATGTACATACATACATACATACATACATACATACATCTATATACATAATGGTGCCTGATCCTTTCGCCTTATCTGCTACGCAGCTGTGGGAACGGTATCATTCCAGAGTACGGTGCGTCTACTCCGAAGTGGGTTGCTAAGCTCCAGCTCAGGCATCTGGAGTGATGTGGCGAATGCTACTGAGTGGATGTTTGTAGCACTGGCTTTGCCCGAACCTCGAGAGCGCAAGAGAGACAGAGAGAGAGAGAGAGAGAGAGAGAGAGAGAGAGTCAGAGAGCGAGCTAGCAGAAAGGGATTGATTTGATACTGATGTATTCTTAGAAGCCATAAAAAAGTCCTGATGCCATACTGTTACTGTATCATCGCACTGTCCGAAATTACAGATAAGGACTTGAATCGATCCCTTGTTCTGCAAGGTTGCGATGTTCGAACCTGCAGTGCCCCATGTGAAGAGTTGAGGGTCCTTCCGTCTCTCGTTTGCGATGCGCAGGCTTCACCAATGATTTTGCTCGTTGCTTGCAGGATTCAGTCGGCTACGGCAACAGCAACAGAGCGGACAGAAGCGCATGCAAAACCTTCCGTAAAAAGTCACAGCACCACAGACTTGCCGTCGCCACGTAATAATCGTCAACTTTCATGTTGGCATTTCACGTCGAGAGGCACTCGCTCCCGAAAAGGTCGCAAGCCTGCAGTGCCAATCTTCAATGGTGTTTACATAGCACACCGAAACCCTAAGTGGCCAGCTCAATGGCGACTCTGCAATGGACGGTGGCTCGAGGGAAAGCCTTGCAGAAGGCCTGGCAGTTCGCAATCTCGGACTCTTCTTGTGAATATGTCTGATAGCCCCTGAGACGGTAGCTTTTGGCTGGATGCCTCGACACACATGTGTGGCTGCGTGTCACGCACAGGAGGTAGCGGATTAGTCTGATCCGCTTGCACGTTGCCTGGGAAGGCGCTGCACTCTGAAAATCGGCCAAACCACTGCCTGCGACTCGACCGCCATCACACTGCTTCGTTCACATCGCTGGTGGCAGATCATAGCTAAGATGCGCCTGCAGTGCCACCAGTCAGCAAGCGAATCTCCTCCTCCATTTCCACCAAGCGCCTGCTGGACAATCTGCAGTGAAGTGTGCTGCAAACATTCCAATCAATGCCTTGCTTGGTCTGACCTTTTTCACGAGAAATCATGGTAGGCGAACAATAGCGAACAGACAGACACAATGCCCCCAACGTGCTTGAAGCTTGCCCTTGGCCACTCAACAACGTAATGACGGTGCCACCGGTCTTGCTTGCCAATTCACTGCTGTGTAGCATGTACTTTCTCACCAGCATTGCCGAGTCCGCATCGTTGATGTGAAATCAAGTAACAACATTGGTTCGAACCCACCTGTAAAAATCTTCGAGCAGCGTTTGAAGCTAAGTCTAAGCAGGGTTTGCTCCTTAGTGCTAGGTGTGCTACACATTCGGGTGCAGCACTTTTCAGGCCAGATACGAGAGGCTGGGAAAACTACTTAAATCACGACAGTATGAATCAAACGCTGTTGGTTGATCGGCTTGATTTGTTGGGTGGTATTGCTTGTACTTGCAAATATAAGTAAGGTGGAAACAGGTCTAAACGATGTAGACTCAAGGGCTGTGAAAATGCAGCCAGCAACGAAGCTTTTACGTGGTTGGAACGGACGCTTGAGACTATGTGTCTTTTTCCAGAAAAGTCAAACGTCTTCAGTCACCAGCCCAGCCAAGTGGACAGCACGGCGAAAACAACCAGTGTTTGTGAACATGCCCGCAATAGGAATGGATGCTTGTGACTGTGACTGCGTATCTTGCTGTAGAAACATCACGCATCGTCGGGCTGCAATATCCACAAGGGCAGAAACGCTGTAGCTTCTGGGGACATATTCGCAATGTCCATGTTTCTTTTTCTTGTGCTGTGGGTTTCTCCCCTTATGCTCCCGGCTTTTCTCGTGCTAACGGTTTTTGCCCTTGTGCGAACAGGGCTCTTCCTCATGCGAACCTGGCTTATCCTTGTGCGAACCTGGCTTTTCCTTATGCTCCCCCCCCCCGGTCCCCCCCAAAACCTGGCTTTTCCTTGTGCTCGCCGGTTGCACCATGCATCACAATTGCACCCCCTCCCGTTTCCTGGAAGTGGCTCTTCCTGCAATAAAAACTCGAGGGAAAACCAACGGTGTCTTTTTCTCACACACCTTGAGCCTCAGCACAGCATTCCGATCAGTCTTGACTTGCAAAGCTCACCAGATGAACATACATCATGATATACGGTAAATAAGGGTCCAGGATTCCTCTACAAAGTTGTTACCGCCCTTTCCTGGTTGCTCTTACAAGCTTCCAGGACCTCACACTTTAGTCTCAGATTGATACCTTTGGCACCATCGAAATCTCTGCATCTTACGGCAGATTCGAATTCACAAGGGAAACTAAACCAGGCTCAAAAGATCTTGTGATTCGAACTCAGAGGCTGACCGACCACAGCAGCGGTTCACCAGCAGCCGAACATGTAGAAACAGTCAATGTTCGATCAGAGGCCTGTGTGTACTTGGCAAGGCACTACCCTCACAGCTGCGCCCAGCATGTTCCTTTGTCGAGTTCAGAGCATCCGTGGCCCAGCCATGATGACGTCCGTGGTCTGCATATGTTCGGACTTCGAACATCCACCGCCCACCGCCGGGCCCTGATGACGTCCATGATCTAATCTGTACTCAGTTCCGAGCGTCCATGGTCCAACCATGATGACGTCAATGGTCCGATCCGTCCTGAGTTCAGAGCATCCACGGCCCGACCATGACGACGTCCATGGTCTAACCCGCCCAGCCACGATGACGTCTATGCTCTAAGATTGTTCTGAATTCATCTTACAGAGGACTGGAATTCGATATAAAAGATAATATAAAACACACAAAATACAATATAACCGAATATGGAACACGTTAACAAAGTCGAAATGTAATACAATGGAACTGAACCCAATAGACCTCAATTTGAATAGCATAAAACCTAACAGAATATACTGCAGTGACTATAAAGTAATGTAACAGACTATAACACAGTATAAAACAAGACAATGCAACAAACCAAAACAATACAATGCCCAATAACGTAGAATGATGAAGTATAGTGTGCTAGCATATTCCTTTATTTGCCGGGGTTGCTACAACATGGCATGACTTAAGCAGACTAGATGATACTCTATTGCTCTATTGCACTATATTAACACAATGTAATTCTGACACTACAGTGTCATATCATATAGGAATAGAACATGAGATGTAATACATGCACTGTAAACATTAAAACAAAATTAAACATCATTTTGTAATATATATATATACATATAAATATTCATATTAATATATATATATATTAATATTTATATATATTAATAGACATATACATGTATACTAGATTGTACAAAATAGAATACAATCCAAAAACCCTCCAAAAGTATGACATATGTAGCAATATAAAGCAAGAAAGCCTAGCCCAAAATATTGCAGTACAATATAACATTATTCACCACATTTCAATATAGCATTGCATATACTAGCAAAACATATCAGAGCAAAACATGACAACGCAACACAACCCAACATAACATAACACAGCATAATGTACTATAATATACTGTAATATAACATAGTCTTAAGAGAACGAATCCTTCGGTTATATTGATGTTGTATGAAAAGTTAAAAAAAAATAACACAACACGAAAACACAACAACAGACAGGTAAATAAGGCCAGCAGGCCAAAAACACAAAACAGAAACAACAAAACAACAAAGAACCACACAAAAAAACACAGGCGAAATAAAGTACTCATCCAAGAAACAGTGAAAATTGAAACAACAAACAACAAAAAGCAAGACAGTGTGCATATATAAACGCGTACAGCAAGGCGGTGGTGGTGGTAGTAGTAGTAGTAGTAGTAGCAGTAGTAGTAGTAGTAGTAGTAGTAGTGGTAGAGCAGTGGCAGTAGTAGTAGCAGTAGCAGCAGTAGTAGTAGTAGTAGTAGTAGCCGTAGTAGCAGTAGTAGCAGCAGTAGTAGCAGTAGTACTACCAGAAACAGTAGCAGCAGCAGCAGCAGCAGCAGTAGTAGTAGTCGTCGTCGTCGTAGTAGTCTTAGTTTAGTAGTAGTAGTAGTAGTAGTAGTAGTAATAGTAATTATAATAGTCCCCTCTCCTACAAAACACCACACGCAGCATGCATTCGGATGGGTGTTGACCGGTTGCGAATCACAACCAGCTATTTCTTGCCTGACGTGCAGCTCAGGTGTTGCAGACTTGCTCACGGCATCCTTTCCATCGCGTGGGGTAACACAGATTCCGTCCCTTGCGGTACGTAGACGTAGACTCTCTATCGTAGATGCAGACGCTGATCTGACTTGGACAAAGCTGCTAGCTGCTCGTTGTTCCATGTTGGTGCGGGCCTTGTTTACAGTCTAGAACCTATGGCGAGTTTATGGCATAACGACACTGACATGGTAGGCATCACGTCGTGCTGTGTACCTTGTGACCTCGTGACTTTGTCATGTCTTTCTACGATCGCAATAAAGCATCCTAACCGCTAAGTCGTCGGAGGAATGCGGCATGAGTTTGACACACATCCCAAAAGTCATCCTTGTAATGCTGTCATGAATGTACAGATTACTTATGACTTCTTGGTATTCTTGACTTCAGTCTCGAGAAGTCGCTCGTGCCTGGACTTCTTGATCGCAGACCTCGTTTGTTTGATGTTTGGAGCATGTGCAGGCCGTCCCGCTGTGTTTATCAGTTAGTATATCATTGTTTACGTTCAGCAGTTTGGTTTGAGGTAACGAGTTTAACCGTGCGGGGTTATTGTAATTAATTCTTTGACTTGCTCCTCTCCCCTTCTCTTGCACTGCCGTGTGCTGGGTTTTATTGTGTTGATTCGTTGATAGTCTTTCGCAGAAGCCCTGATAAGGTTTCCTCGGAGGCGCCCCCGTCTCAAGTGTGGCTGGTTGTTTTCATTTTGTTGTTCTGGCCTTTTTTACACATGTTTGTTTGCTTTTTCTTGTTTTACTCTTTTGCTTGATTTCCAATATCTCCAAGAGCTTCGGGCGCTTAAACAGAGCACTCTAGAGCGAAATATTACGTATAGTACAAGATTGCATAACAAATCGCACCATAAAATCACAACAATACACAACATAACATAACATAATGTAATAAGATAATACTACAACCGGTGTAGTGTAATAGCAAACACAATAGAATAAAATCTAACGTAACATAACCCAACATGACATGTACTAATATAACATAGAATGATATAACAACACAACACAACACAGCACACAACACCATACCATGTTGTAACATAGCATTGCACAACAAATCAAAGCACACCGTCACACGTGACATAATGTAACAGAACAACAAGACACCATTTGGCATAGCGTAACATCGCATAACATAACAACATAGCATAGCGACTAAAAAAAAATACAACATACCATGACATAACATAATGTCGCGTACTGGGATAGAGTATGGTAAAGTATAGTACAACTTGAGCTAATGTACGTATTATGACCTAGCATGATCTAACAATGTGAAATATAGCAGAACTTATCATAACATAATGAGGATACCCAATAACATAATATACAAAAATGTGTATCTATATATATACACATATATATTATACTTTTACACAAAAGCAAACATAGAATGAAGCACTATACTACGTCTAAACATAACCTGGCATGTCACCGTCTAAAATAGTCCAACACGATATATTGCAATATACTTCAAAATAGTGTAAAAAGGCATACGCATAATGTTCAGTAACATACTATTGTTTATGATAAAAGAAGTTCTATGATCTATTGCAATATAATCTCATATAACTCATATAACATGAGAGAGTATAATGATAATGTGCTCGTGTCATGCAACCTTACATTCGTACTACATTTTCCGATGTCGTGCTTTACTGCCTTACAAAAAGATAGCAGTGTGAACACTTTGACAATCTCCGCGGCAGCGCAGGGGCATCACAAACGCAAAACTATTTGGGCTGCGGCATGGTGACGTAGAGGCATTGGTCTTCTGGGGTGTCGCTTTCTTGGTGTCAATGACACTCACGACTTTGGCCTTCCGTCTTTGGCGCATACACGCAGCAACAACCGCACTTTTTTGAAAAAGCTGACACCACTAGGAGGAACCTAAAAAACAGTAGTTTCTGGTGTTTTTTGACTACTGCCGGCCGAAGTATTTTTCGCAAAGTGCCATTTCTGCGATTTTAGGAGCAAAAAATCATGCTAGATCTATTTTCACAGATGATTTGCGTTTTGCCATGGCTCTGCAAAACCAAGGTGACCCCAAAACCAAAATCCAGAAAATCCATTAAAGCTGGGTGCACCCCTCAAAAACGGTGTTGATGTCGCGAAACAAAGAAACCCTATGGAACCTGCAAAACCTGATTCTGATTTTGGATATTCTGTCAAAACCTGGGCCCCTGCAAACTTTTTCGAAAGCACCCGAACAGGGCCGTAAACCTACTTTAAATAGAAAGTTGCATTTGCCGTGATTGGCAAAACCTGGGTTTCCCCCCTCAAAAAACCACATCCCGAAAATCCATCCTAGCCACTGAAAGCTTTCTGAAAACCGCGGAATCTGCAACACCTGATTTTGGATTTCTCAAAACGTAGGCCACTCCAAGCTTTTCGAACACGCCCCGTGCGTTTTCGGCATTGGTTTCTGGCCCACTGCCAGGAAGGGGCAAAATCCGAGGCGTCAAAAAGGGCCGTAAAGGCTCAACAAAACCTAGGTTTTGACCCTCAAAGCCAACTCCCGAAAATACAGTCGAGCTGCCATGGAACCTGCAAAACCTGATTTTGGAAATGCTGCTCAACCCCTCGCCCCTACGGGCCTTTTTCGAAAGCGCCTGCGTTGTTTCTGGAACGGTTTTGGCCTGAAAACCACGCTCTGATGTCAAATGTCCAAAAAGTCCATTGGCCCCTGCCTTTTTACCGGGACGTTGCACGTTTTTCCTCCCCGTGACGTGCCACATCGAAGGCAGTAGATGGCCACTTACAAGACCCTTCCTGCAACCTTAAACGGAAAATCCGATGCCGAAAACGTTCCAAACCGACTTTCACAAACGGATTTGCCCTTGGGAACGCATTTTGTTAATGGAGGCTAGTTTTGTCATGATTTGTTCCTCAAGGTGATCTCTTTGAAAACATAGGCATGATGACTAATTTTTCTGTAGCTTATAGAGTTTATGGCTTGCAGCTGTCGGCACAGCTGCGCAAAGAAAACATGCTAGCTTCGTTCTGCGAACAATCCTGAAAGGCAAGCATCGCACGAGTGACATCATGCTGCTGATAGAACGGCCGAAAAAATGGCGACGGTTTTGTTGCTCAGGATGTGCTTCAAGCACCTATTTAAGAGTTGCACAGAAAAAAGGTCAGGTTCGCATACAGGCCAGCAACAAAAAAAAGGTCAGGCCTGCCTGAACCAGCTCAATGGGGCCCAATCCCCACCGCCGTCCCACCTGGCCCTTGCACCATAAGCTCGAAACGAGACACAGAAACGAAAGTCAAACTCGAGGCTACATGGGGCCAAAACCCCAGCTCAGTGGGACCCAGCCCCCCCTTCCCACCTGGCCCATGGAGCATAAGCAGGAGACGGGGCAGCACAAAAAAAGGCCAGGTTAGCACAAACACAGAAATCGATTGCATAGATGCAAAAACCTCGGGCATAAGAGGAGAACCCGTAATAAGAAAACAGCGGTGTCGGCGACGGGATGGAGGCATGGAGGTCGATGAAGAAAGACATGGAGGTGGGCAGCATAAACATAAAACCTTGAGCATAAAAATTAAAACCCAGCCCGTATCTATTCACCGATTCCCTCCGCCTTCCCCCCACCCTTCCCCCCACCACGTGTGTGAGCAAAACTGCTCCTTTACTGTCTGCATATTAGGTTTGCGTGTCTTCAAAAATCATATACAAATGCAAAAGCTCAGCTTCTAAATCGAACAACAAAAATCACAGATTCCTCCCTTCGAAACAAAACATGGCAACAATACTACTTAAAGGTGAAAGAACATCAATGGTACCGTCTCCAGCGTGGAAAAACTCTTAGCCGTCCAGTTTTCTGGTTAGATTTCGGTATATTTTGGTCTTCATGCTGCGAGGCCCCTCATGCCGTCTCTATGGACCTCTATTTGATTTCATTTCAGAACTCCTTGAACCGCAGGCTTTATTCGTTCAAAACGAATGCAATCCGTGAGGGTTTTAGAGCATGGCACTGCAGAACACTCATGTCAGCTACACTACACGCCTACTGACCTGTTGAGTGATTGCCAAGTCATGCAGTTCGTGAACACGGCTTCGGGAGAGTTGCTGCAAAGTTCTTGCAGCACGACATGCAAAGCTTCTGGATGAGCTTTGTGCACGGATAACGTATATAACGCCGTGCTAAGAGACATGCACTCGCCTTCTCATCATCACGCACTCGTCTTCATGGCGGTCCGAGTCCTGCAACGAGCTGCGAAACGTGCAACAGATTGCAGCGGCCCAGGTCTCACCTCGGTGTCCGATCCGGACTCCTGGCGCTCATGGGATGCCCGGTTGCACACCTGCTGGGGCGGTCGTTTCGCTGTTCTGGTCTGCATGCTAGAGTTCGGCCAAGGCCACCACCCAGCATGCATATCGATCTTTCGATTCTATTGACAACTTCAGCTGCCTGACCTTGCAACCACATCCGATCAAAGAAACCGTTCTTGTACAGTAGCCATTGCTGGCTCTCACGTTGGCATTCAAAGATCAGCCTTGCAGACCTGCGGTATCTTGCGGTAGTTGCAAAATGTGGCAAACCAAGGCTGCACTAGTGAAGCATTCTCGCGCGCGCGTGATGCAAGGAAAAAATGCAATAGGACATAGACCACTCACCAATCTCAGTGCACGAAGGACAAAAGTCTGTTGACCGCAAAGGATTTTGAGCTTGTCCCTTCCAAACTCTCGCAGCCGAACGAGGCTCTGCTCCACATGGCCGGGGGCCCCGGCAGGACGGCAACGTTACGTAAAATGTGTCTGTACGACAAAGCGCTGTGGACTCTAAATGGGAAAGGTGAAGCTCTTCCCGAGCCAAAGCTACGACGTGAAGCGTGAAGCAGCCCCGCAACCTGGTGGTCTGCAGGACGCCCTCAGTCCGGGAAGACCGTTCTGCTGGTGAGCATGATCCTTGAGCAGTACAAGGGGTGCTTCGAGCGCATCTACATCCTGAGCCCCAGCATCGACATGGACCCCCAGTGGGAGCGGGTCAAGGACTACATCCGGAAGGAGCTCGAGGTGAACACCGACTGGGAACAGTGCTGGTAAGACGAGTGGTGGGACGAGTGGGACGAGGGCGCGCTGCAGCAAATCCTGGCCCAGCAGAGGATCACGCAGCAGTCCAAGCAACTAGTACCAGGTTTCGGTGTGCCTCGATGATATGGCCTATACTCTATACCCAGCAGGTGCACAAGAAGACCGGGGACGGTCTGTTGGATACTTTGTCAAGCCGAGGGCGCCACTACTGCATCAACACCTGGGCCTCGACCCAAAAGCTGCGGCTCATGCCCTTGGCCGCCCGAGTGAGCACCATGCGGAACCAGCTTGAGCTGGACGCCCTTGTCGAGGAACTTTCCGCCATGCTGCCCAAGGGCGTGCTCTACAGCATGCACGAGGAGGCGACCCGGGATTCTGGTATGTGAACCGCGGTTCGAAAGAAGAGACAGATCGCCGGGCGGCCCGCTCTGCGACAGTGAGCGCCATCACGTCCTGTGCTGGACCAGCACGCAGAGGGTCGTGGACCCCCGGTGGCCCTGTCCGGAAAGGCCCCGGCAGATCTCGGATAGTACCTCCAAGAAGTCGGTCAGGAGTTTCTTCTGTAAGAAAAGCCGGGTTATGTGTACCATCTTCGTGGACTTCCGGACGATCGACACAGGCGAAACCCTTCAACTTTGGACCGGAGCCAAGCTCTCCTCAAGTTCCGGGTGGCCGATGCCTCCCTGACCGGGGCCAGTACCTGTATCGGATCGACGCTGGGGCCGACGACTTGCAGCTCTCCGGGCTGTTGTCAGGATACCAATGTTGGGCAGCAACATGACAACCTTTGATGACGACCTCGGCAAAAACGAAAGCTGTGCTTACAGAGACAGCACTTGAGCTTCCCTACCTTTTTGATTGTTTATTTTTGCTGCCTCTCATTCTGGGTGTCAGGTTTCTACTAAAATTGGGACGGGCGGCATGCTACGTCGCGCACACACCCACACACACACTTGTGTCAACAGAGTGAACGAGACAAGCAAGTTGCTGCACTTCTGGCCGAACAGAGCTGAATTAACATGGACTCCTGCATCAAGAACGAGGCCGTTCGGAACTGCGACTCTGGCCGCATCGTCAAAGCGCGGGGTCTTAACCTGGAAATTGGTGCCTCCCGCAAGATCAGACCGGCAACAAAGAAAGCCAAAGCAACAAAGTCTCAGGATTCCAGCATCCTGCCTGTTGGACGGCAAGTCCTGTTCAATCGTATGGCCGCGATGGGAGCTGGCAGGGCTGGATTTGGCAATCGCACTCCTCCGGTCCCAAGCGGACCATGTGGACGGTCTTAAGCAATTGCTGTGAAGCTCTTGATAGCTCTTGCTCTTGGCTTGGAATATAGCATGATGAGGGTGTTTTGCAGCATCGGAAGCACGATGGCACGCTTGCACAGCAAGCTCTTGAAAGGGTGTGTATGGCTGGGACGATTGGTGCATAGCGCATGCGCATGACATCCACATGGGAGACGGCTCACCAAGATGGAGATTCTAGATCGAATCGAGCCGGCCTACTAAGTGGAGTTTGCAAAGACTTGGTCCTACCGTCCTGCAGGGACGGATGTTTCCACCGTCCGCGACAGCAGCAAGATCCTTGTGGAACAGAGCTACTACCCCGAAGCCCGATGTTGAGATTGATGATGTTCATCGACAGCGCGCAACCACGAAGTCCATGCTTCCCCGAAAGCATGTCACTGGGTGGCCATTTAGTATCTGAATCCCGGGCACGACGAGTGGTCAGACGCAAGCCCTTCAGCTTGATGTTCCACAAGTTGCCACAGGCCAAACAAACATTGGCGAGAAGTGGTTTTCATCTTAAACGGAGACCAGGACGAGGAGAATGTCCGAGGCACTGTTTGCCGACGTTGCTGATCGGCTGGGCGGGCTTAAGCGAAAGGCCGTGGGCAGCGTCGCGGAGCCAGAGGAGCTGATGAAGAAACGATCAGATTGCCGCGAAGGAAGGCTGAAGTTCTGACTGACTGGGCGCTAGTCGCTACGATCCATTCTTCACTTCCGCCAAGAACGGCAACGAGGCAAGCAGGTCAGCTGCTGGGAACTGTACAGAAGTTCCTGGAGGCCAAGGACGGCATGAGTGTAGATGCTGGCGACCGTCTTGGAGGTGGTGCAACATGGTGCAACAAGTAGAATCCGTGATGCCTATGACCCAGAAGAGCAGTGCGAGCGATCTCTGATGGCTGTGCGAGATGAGCTGGCAAATCCTCGTTGTGAAAGAGCCCGGTATCAGTGCAGCCTCCGCTGCAGAGTGCCGCTGTCATGAAAACCTTCCACCTTGGGAGAGGCTGCGGCAGCTCTTGCCTGTCTTCAACAGAAGGTGCACGTGGGATGCGGAGGAAGGATTGGCATCGCGTCCCCATGGCCCCCTCCCCGAAACATTGGTCTATCAGTAAAGGACATCTGATGCTACACCAGCTTTCGTCGTCCTCAGACCCAGTCTAAGATCCCGCACGGAGGCTTTCAGCTTTTCCTTTTCATGATCGACAAGTGGAGCAGCATTTTGCTGTTCCTGCCAAGGCCACCCCCTGCAAGGCCAAGCTAACAGCCAGGCCAGTCGGGGTTCGGTCCTCAACCTCGTCGCTCAGCTTCTTTATTTGGTCCTGAAGAATTTGAGGAATGCATCTGGGCCCAGCATCAAAGTTGGTATCATGCGTGTGGTTCTGCGATCCTAGCTGAAGCTTTGTTTTGCGGGGTCAACGCGGGCATAACAGATTCTAAGGCTCTCTTGTCATCTCGGTTTGACGAGCAAGCAGCACAACTGTAACTTAGATCTCAGTCGGCAATGAATCGCAGCGAAATCAAGCAACTGGCGCATGACTTCAGCTGTGGCATCAGGTGTGGTGATGCGAGTCGGGGAGTGGATCCGTCCTCCAAATAGCGCTTCTCAGCTAGCCTCCGTTCGCGCTCATTTCGCACCTCACAGACATGGATGTATCGACCATGTATCGACCAAGGCACGTCCGCTACCGTGTGACTGGCCTCATCGAGGAGCTGCTTTGCAGCCAGGTGCCCCTAGGAATAGGGCGTGATGGTCTTCACAAGATTAGCATTGGCTATCATCAGCTGGTTTGCAACTGTTCGACTGTCCAAGGGGCCTGAGCAGCTGGAGGCGTTTCTGAAAAAAGAGCATTTCGTACTTCTTTCATCGCCTCGAAACAAGCTCTCTCGGGCCATGGGGAATCTCTTGATTCGCACCCTCTTCTGCCTTTCGGAGCTTTTTCACTTCAAAGTTTCGTCGCCGACGATGTCTTTCCATCAGCTGAACCTAAAAAAAAGTCTGCATCGTCGTATATTAAGTTGAACCAAACACAGCCGTGACCCGCCTGTTGCCTGAGAAGCTCGACATCATGCCGGGTGCACCTCAGCACGACGTTTTGCCTCGTTATGGCAGAAGGCCACCACATGTCACCATGTTCGACTCATGGCTGAGTTTCTCACGAACGCGCATGCCCGTCAGAGCGCAGCTGGGACAGAGCGACCTGGGTGCTGAATTGGAAAAGGGCATTGCTGTGAGCGTGATGGAACTTCGAGGAGTACAGGAGTCCGCAGTTTTTCGTCAAAACAACTGTGGCACATGGCCAAGATTCATATTGCCAGTGTAGCTATGTGCGAGCATCGTCGCAACCTTGCCTCGTGCTCGCGCAAGTGCTGACTGAAGGTAGCTCGAAGTCTGGCGATTTCCGTAAGGAGGACCTGGCCAAATAGGAGTTTCATGGAGTTTCCTAGCAGCAGGTTTCCAGACCGCAGGCTTGGAATACGAATCATTGGGCAAGTTGCGAAGGCGGAGCGATCATATCTCTAAATCCGCACCCATTGCTGAAAAAGCTCACGCCCTTGCTGCATGTTTCTGTTGTTGCAAGACAGAGGTCTAGCCTGCCTAAATGCTTCCGGCTCATCTGGCAGAATCTTCTGTTCCAACTCCTGGGCCCTGGGCATTCTAGCCTAAATCAGGAAGACAGGCACAAAGTCTGAAGGACGTTTCTAGTCTGCACACACCAAGACCACAAAGCGTGCAGGCAGCGAGATCTGCAGGAACAGCAGGCCTCGTTGATCATTTGGTCAAGGTTTTCTTGCCAAGGCAGGTCCTGTTTCCAGACAATGGCGACCATGAATGCATCTGAGACCTGAATCCAACCTCGAAGCTGATTTCTTCGGTGTCTTGTTTAGACCTTCTTCAGAGAGGAGCAACATTTCTTGCAGCGTGATGCTGTACGCTCGCGCCTGGACAAGCTTCCGAGGCCCGTAAAACAAGACCAGATACTTTGAAGAGACCTTGCTGAGATTTCGAAAAAATTCGGCAAGAGGCCGCTGTATAGACCATGGAACACGATTTGCGCAACACGAAAGCTGTTCAAGCCAGCGGCATGGCCCATGCAAGTGGATGCACAGGGGTCACCTTGGCAATTGCTGTTCACTAGGCCATGTCTCTCCTACCCCCCACCCAGCACCCTACTGTACAGGGAGACAACGGCTGCTCTGTGCCAAAAACCATGAGCAAAGGCTGCTAAACTAAGCAGTATTGGATGTGAACGAGTGCTTGGAGAGGCTGAAGGTGAGAAGACACTTGCAGATGCGGGATTCCACCTCCGCAACACGTACTCCCAGATTCCTATAAGCCTCTTCCTCATCATACTGGAGTCTTTTTCTGGCTGCTGCACTGAGGCACCGGCTGTTTTCAGTTCAGTCAACGCGACCAGCAGAGAGAAATATCATCTTCCGCTTAATTGAGTCTGGTTTATTGAGGCTCCAGTTTGATCTATTTGGGCCGAACCCGTTAAGGGTTTACGGATCCGGCCTTTTGCCTCCTTGACGCGGCAAAACATTGGATATTGTCAAAAACCATGAAAACCCAGCAAGTTACATGACACCCTCTGTTTGAAACGGCATTCCACGACCCGCTAACATAAATGGATGACCGTTCTCGGACACTGTTTTCTGGCAGTCCGAATTGCACTAGTATCCATCCTGGTGCACACGTCAAGAGATCTGAGCCAAAACAATGCCAGGCCATGCAATCCAGCACAGTTTTGGGGCAGCAGAACCAATGCAAGGAAAAACACAATAGCAACGCTTGTGGAAAGGGAGGGAAAGGGACACCTCACGATTTAAATTTTGCACCCTATGCATTACGCGGTGCAGCTGAATCGTCCCCATTTGCGAGTAATTGCAGCGGTGCGCGGCTGCACACGGCAATTAGATCCTTAAGACCTGTAGAGATGGCTCAATGTTGGACCCGTCGACTTGCAGAATTTGCATTTCTTTGCCAGGAATTGTGCAGAGCCGTGGCATCGCGAGCTTGCATACTCAACCCCATCACCGCTTGAGCCAACATGCAACATGATTCGAGCGGCGCAAGAGTGTGTCAGACATGAAATCTGAAAGTCACGAACTCCGCTTGGGGATCACACAGGTTTGTAACAAAAGGCGTGCCAAGGAGCGTGGGCTAGGGAGCAGAACGGGCGGGAGCCCCTTTAAAAAATGCCTGAATCGATCAAGCAGTCTTAACTGCCTTAACTCTTGATCGAGAAACGGGCCTGACCAGGGGTCTCATCCCAGCCTTTCTGCCACACCGGCAACTCCCGCAGGCTCCAAGGAGAGCTTGCTTGTGTGAAGAAGAAGCTTCATGAGTAGTGCCAATTGGAAGGTTCGATAAAGCATCAGCCGCAGTAGAAACGGCAAACGAATAAATTCAGCGACGTTGAAATGCATGACAACAAAAGCTTCCAACTGATGGCGCATGCATCCCTGACGATCGGACGTTTCCAAGTGCTTTCGCTTCGGTGGCGTTTCTGCGATGTGACTCCATCGGAGTCTAGTATCGACATCGATGTTCTTCTATTTCCAACTGAACTAGTTGATCGATGTTCTGTGGGACCGACCGTTTCCCGGTCGGTCGTCGCAGAAAGAAAGCAAAGGAAAAAGGTAACACAAACAGGGTTAGGGAGGGTGGGAGAAGAAAGATTTTCACGAGTCTTAAGCCAAATGGCAACGGATGTATATGTACAAATCGCACTCATTCTGATTCTGCAAATCCACAAGCAATCCGATGTGTGTTCGATGAAAGCAAGAGGTTGTCACTTCGCACACTCGTGTGCTACACAACAACAAAAGCTTCCAACTTATGGCGCATACATCCCTGACGATCGGACTTTTCCAACTGCTTTCGCTTCGGTGGCGTTCCTGCGATGTGACTCCATCGGAGTCTAGTATCGACATCGATGTTCTTCTATTTCCAACTGAAATCGTTGATCGATGTTCTGTGAGACCGACCATCGGTGGTGGTCGTGATTTTGCCAGCCCTAACCATGGATGTTTGTTCAGCGAAACACCTTTGACGATCTTTTGGTTAGCATGCACTGTCGCATCTTTGATGCTCTTGTTGCGTGCTACGACATGGAGTTCAGTTGGGACTGCAAGCTTGAAAAAGGTCATGACCAAGTCAGGTGCCCATGTCTATGCACGCACTCTTTTCATCCCAAAAAGCCTCAGGCTGAAAGCTCAAACCACCTTATGCACAGCTCCACCCGAAGGTGTGTGAGTTGCAGGGTGGAAACGTCGGCAGCAACACATTCGTAGGAGTGGCTGCTGTCAGTAAGGCATGCCTTTTGAGCGACATCAGGAACTCGCGCAAGTCGCGGCCCACCATCGCATTGGCAACTACTAGACATGCTCTTTCAAACTTCAGGACATGGCTTGGCCAGTGTCTTGTTCCGGACACACTCGTGCTGACTTAGTCAGGACAGGCGGGAAAAGCCGGTATGGCAGGGTAGTTAAAACTTAAGCTGAAATCTCACCAGCCTTTTGCGTACGTGGGCTGAGCGCCGACATCAGGCTCGCTTCTTGGGGGAAGACACAGCGGGGAGTTCCACCTTGTCCTGTGGCATGCAGGCCAAAGCTTCAGGAATCGGCCCGCCTGTGCCGTGTGACATGCCAAGCCGTTTCCGTGCCCCGACGACATTCACCAGATCTCACTGGAGTCGTGTCCCCTCCCTGTAATTGAAGAGCAAGCTACAGCAAGGCAGTACCAGACCTTGACTTGGACCGACTCCCGCACAGCCAAGACATCGACCCGGGCAGTCCTGCCCGGCCGCAGATGCTCGACGTGTTTTCTTTGGGCTTTTGGGCGCTCCGGCCACCTTGGCTGCCTGGCACAGCAGCTATGAGTGCATGTACCACCTTCGATCAAGCCCCTAGTGGCCCCTCTGCTCCCTAAGATCTGAACAGATCGAATTGGAACAGCACATGGAGAGTCGCTGCGTCCATGCTGTGAAGATGCAGTGTTACCGGACCCGACGTCGAGGATTCTCGGGCGGAGGATGATGCATGGGGAAGAAGGGAGGATCGCAGCCTCTTGTGAAGAGCGACGGCGAGACTCACGACGAGAATTCCGCTTCGTCCTGGGCTCGTCCGTTTGTGATGTCATGATCTACTTTTTGCCATGCAGCTCCTCTTGTTCGGATCATCAGGCGGGAGGACAGCGAGATCATCCACCTGCCTGAATCTGATGGCTGCGAAGCCAGTTGGCTTGGAAGAGGTATTTTAATATGGCAAGCACTACTGTATCAGGCCTCGCTTCCTCAACAGGCTCTTCCTCAAGATGGCTTTTAGGGCTTTTACGGCTTGAGCTGTACGGGGTCTGGAAGACCGCAGAGCTCCTCGTGCTTCTTCAACTTCATTGCCGCGTGCACTTTTCGGAAAAGTCCCCTCAAAGGGCACCAGCAGAGACAAGAGAACACACCTGAAAGCGCAGTGTTTGGTGCCAGGCCTGGCTTTCTGTCCGGCCTTGTCAAGACAGCGCTGCACTGACCCTTGAGATGCTCTGCTCCGCGGCACGTGCCTCCTCATGCCTGAACATGAGCGAGACACTCTAGTGCTAGAAGCGGCTAGTGGACGACCACTTTCACGACAGTCCTCGGATCTGCATCCACCGATTCCATCAGCAGCTTCAGACGCTTCTCGTCTGCCAGCACAGCTCGAGCCTGCGATACTAAGGCGATGCGATGCAAGCGATGCGACACGCGTAGTTTGCCCTGTGACTTGGAATTCCTTGCCTTAGCAGGTCCGAGCAGCTCCTGCACGTAAGGGTCAATGGGACCTCCGCAACCGCCGCAACCATCGGGACAGGTTTTTCTTCCCCACGGTCGTTGCACTCAATGACTCAAACGTAGAGGGACTTAGACGAGCCGCCATTGTTACAGGCTTGTTGGAGACGAACCGTCCGGTCATCCGTCGACAACTAGCTGCCCCCGGTTCGGTGTGCGGTCGGCCGTGGCCCAAGAGATGCAGACTGGCAGTCCGGGTGCCACACCAGCGGAAGTAATGCGATATTTCAAGACGCACCTTGTCCAGGCGCTTGCAGGCCGTGCCCAGACTCCACCATTCCCTGCCTTCGCAAGGTGAGGATCGCCTGCTCGGATGCCTCCGTTGGCGGAGACATAACAAGTCCGCCGAGGCCACCGGCCCAGGCGTCTTGGGGATTAGCTCAAGTACCCTCCACCTAGTCCTTTTTGCTGCGTCGCAACTGGTTGGAACCACCCGCTTTTGGCGTCCATTGTCGACCCCCCCGCCCGGCTTCGCCTGATTTTACCTCACTTGTCGGCCTTTGTCTTCT